CACCCGTATAGGAATCATCAGGTGGTGAATAATTTCGCAACCTACAATTTCGAAATTATTCACCTTCTGGTGATTCCTATGCGGATGAAACAGACTGTTGTGGTTTTTTGAGGTAAAACGAAAAATTATATTACGCTCTATCTATATGGTATTGAGCACTGTTTGTGTTTCGTAGACCAGAATCACAAGCTATATATATATATATATATATATATATATATATATATATATATATATATATATATATATATATATATATATATATATATATATATATATATATATATATATATATATATATATATATATATATACAGCTAATTCAATAAAGGTTGTCCTTTGCAAACCTTAAACCTTAAAACCTTAAACCTTAAACTCTAAGCGCGCAAAGCATGATGGGAGCACTGATTTCAAGCTTAATTGTTGATTATTGAAGCTGTTTGTCAGTGAAATGTTTTTGCGGGAGATTTTTATCATGTCTCCAAAAAATGGGCTCCATATATGCTTTCTAAACTGCTTAAATTTTGCTTCCATTATGCTTCGCGCGCTTAGAGTTTAATGTTTAAGGTTTTAGAGTTTTAGGTTTCAAAGGACAACCTTTATTGAATTAGCTGTATATATATATATATATATATATATATATATATATATATATATATATATATATATATATATATATCACAATGCGTAAGCGGCATGGCTCATCCTGTAGAGCGCCCAATATGACCAAATGGCCATAGAGCGATATCTAACTACGGACGGTACATATATATATATATATATATATATATATATATATATATATATATATATATATATATATATATATATATATATATATATATATATATATATAACATATATATATATATATATATATATATATATATATATATATATATATATATATATATATATATATATATATATATATATATATATATATATATATATATATATATATATACGAATGTGGTTTGGTTCACAAAATGCCAAAGAGTGCTCGATATCATATAGATTGACAGTACATGCTTTCCTTTCATTATTATCATTATTTACTGTGGGAATTTCTTTGTATGAGTACAAGTCGAAACTATTTCCGGTTCAGTTTTGTTAAGTAAAAATTGTTTGTTTTTTTCCTTCAAAATACAGAGTTTTTCCCCCAAACACAAATTACATCGTTTTGATCCTCCTGTATAAGAAACAAGCGAGTTTTATGTACTAACCAGGTCATGTCGAAATCTTGTTTGTTTTCTTTTAAAGTGCTTATGAAACGAAATTTTTGTCTCATTTTTTATTGTCTGATTAAAAGGTATTGCTTAAATGATGAAGAATGACGTTTACTGTTTGTTCGTATCTCATCTCATTCCCAAGTTATCGCACTTTCTATATTTTGAGTTGTGACGTCACTAGTTTGACTCAAAATAGTGGCAATAACAAGAAAATCTGATATCTTGATGATCATTTAATAAAATTCACTGAAACTTGGCACACTTAGTGGGTGCAACGAAGTGAACAATTTGGCGTGTTTATATGGTTGTTATGGCAACACACTCGTCCCCAGTCCCTTCTCTTCCAATTTCTCTATGATCCATTTCCAACGAAATAAATAGTAATTTCTGCAATTGTCGCTTATTACTATCATACGTGTAGGTATTGTGATCAGTTTAAACCGTTATAACATGCAAACATCCTCTGCAAGAGGTCTACAGGAGGAAATTTGTGAAAAAGAAGAGAAGAGACTGTGGACTAGTGTGTTGCCATGACAACCACATGACCATCCAAAAATATTCATATGGGTGCACCCACTAAGTGTGCCGAGTTTCATTGAATTTTATTAAATACTCTCTAAAATATCAGACTTTCTTGTTATTGCCATTATCTCAAGTCAAACTAGTGACGTCACAACTCGAAATTTAGAAAGTGCGATAACTTGAGAATGAGATGAGATATGAAGAAACTGTAAACGTCATTCTTCATCGCTCTAGCAGTACTTTTTAGCAAAACAATAAAAAATAAGGTGAAAATTTCGTTTCATAAGCACTTTAATTTCCAAATATATTTCGAAAGTTCTGTATAGTTTGAGTACTTTTTGTGATTGAAAGACCTATTGTGGTTTCGGTATCGCTCTTTAAGGTGGTTGATGTCATGCCGATGTGGTGCTTTATGTTGTTTGTGTTGCTTGTTGTGACAGTTGCCTTGTATACTTTGTCCTTAGTCTTGCATTTTTCCTACATGTAGTTGGCATGCGTTCCTACAATTGCAACTGTCTGTGTCTTCGCTCTGTGGCAGGTTTTTAATTTTCTACTTATGCGTGCATTGTGTCGAGTAATGATGGTCTTTACATTGTTATTGCAACTATAGCTGACCTTAACTGTCTTTTTGTTAAAAATTTTATGAAGTTTGTGGTGAGTCGGAAAATGTTTGTCAATCATGCAGGCTGAGAAAATTGCGTCCTATATTGGTTTTGACACTCTTATTCAATAGAGGAGACTACTCCTCTTTATCAAAATGCACTACGTCACAGTAATTTCGAAACTAATAATGAAAGAAACACCACAACAACCACGCAGAAATAGGCAACGCAGCATCGTTTGGTTTACCAAATCTTTGCTCGTCTGATGAAAGAAGTGACATGCGCTTTTTTATGGATGTCCGAAGCTGTTTTATGATGCTAGGTGTGCCTGTTTATGTTTAATGGAACAATTGCTCTCCAGCCAGCTAACTGAGCTAATTAAGAGTAGACACATACAGCTTTTGTGTGGGAGAACGGGTTATGGGGGTGAGGTACTCCTGTTACAACAAGTGTCACATTATATGTATATTTAACCCAATAGACTCTTTATGGCCTTATATTTCATCCTGCGGGGTGTATATAAGGCCCGCTCTGATAACCCTAGGGGTAATGGTCCCTAGCCCTGGGGGTAAGGGTCCCCAGAACACATGCCAAAGGGGTAGCGACCCCCTCTGACCTTATTAACCTGAACCAAGGGGTAAGGGTCCCTTGGACAGTTCCTATTACTCGGCCGATTATATTTACATTGAATGAGTCTATGGGCATGAAGGTGACCATTGGGAGCACTTCAACCCCAAACCATTAAATACTTTATTGCAATAATATGCTATATTACATCATGCACCCTGACGGTGTGCTCAGTGATGGTGTTATCTCCAATAATAGTGTTCTCCTTTAGTAGCGATTTCCAGTAATAGTGATCTCCAATAATAATGTTGTTCCATGATATTGTTCACCATAGGTGTTTTGTGTAATCCCTTAGGAGAAGTGGTGGGTGAGTGGGAAAATGTTACAGTAGCTTTGGAACATTACTTTGTTAAGACTTTGAAACAAGTGATCTCTTTCAGGTGTATTTGATCTATTTGATCTATGTTTTAGTATGAATAGGCCTACAAGTTCGAAAATTTCAGCTCCGTTGTAGCTACCCATGGTAACGTCAAATAAACTATTCCTATGTCTTTTGATCACGGTTTTACATTATTGAAAGGTAGTGATTTCCTTGCGTGTTTTTTATTATTAAAATTTTGTCTACAGCTATATCAGTCAAGTTTGAAGCCCAAGGCTTGGTCCAGTAAATATTCCGAAATTGAAGGGTAGAAATCGATTATTTCGAACGAAATAAAATTGTATGCCTGTGTTTTCCTTTATGTTGCCAAGCGATTCAATTAGTTTTTGCGTGTTTCTCCATTCATTTACCGTTCAAAATTTCTCTCAGTTGTTTGAAACATTGGGTGTTAAAACGTGCTGGTTTAAATTACAAAACCCGAGTAAAAGGCTGCCAAATTATACCACTCTGTATACCAAAGGGAGAAATAGTGAAACAGAGTAAGTATTTCAATGTGTAGTTTTAGGCAATACCTAATGGAAGAGATTTACTTCATTATGAACCCCCATCCCTCTAGATTTCTCTAACTGTCACTGACAGCTTGTTTCCCCCACCCCTATGGAAATTCTGGACAGTTTTTTACTACTATAATACTTTCAAGCATGATGTCAGTGTTTTAGAAAATAACTCGGCAAGATAGAACATTGTTCACATAAACAAGACAGAAACCGTATCTTGGCCTATGCACAGCAAGGAAGTGGGTGCCTTCTTGAACTGCTGGTATAGCCGCACACAAGCTTCACTAGTTGGCGATATGCAACTGCCCTAAGAAACCTTTCAAAAAGAAAATTTATATATTAACATGACAGCTTTAAAATTTAGTAATCCAAAAACTATCATGTCATTTGTGAGCTGTGTTCTGCACAAAAACACCATATTCATAATACAAGATCTTTGTTTAGCTTAATTATAACTTAGCTATAGGCCTTTCAAGTTTTCTTGTTCACATGATGGGATATTTCAGTACCTTGCTCATCTTTACAGGGATTCACTAAATCCAGAATATGATACTCATATCATGACATTGTATCAGTTTGGCTAGCCCTGGCTGATGAGCATTTCTTATCACTCATCACCAGAGTATGGAGTGCTCTTTTTCTCACCCACCTACCTGGTAATCATTAAAGAAAAACATGCAAATGTCTGGGGCTAGCCTTTTGAGGGAATGCCTAATGCCAAAAAATATTGATACATGACTCAGTCAAATTGCATAGTTCCAGGAAATAGCCATACCCCCCACACACCCACCCTGCCACAGACGAAATTGGAAATTCAAGAGGATAGGGTGTGTCATTGCACCAAGATTTCCAGTGGAGTGGGTGTATTCTAAAGTCTTGATATTTCCAGAGGGTATTCAAATACAACCAATGTCAAATGCTGGTCATGCATGTTTTCTTCGAGCATTTTTCCTTACTAGGTTCACATAAACAACAACGAAATTCATCGGGTTCTACCACAAAGGCCAGGACACAGTTACCACATTTACACCTGTGGACCATTAATATATTAAAGTATACCGACAATTAAAGTATTTGAAGCATATACTATATCATCAATTAAATTAAATTGAAGTATATTTCCTACAACTTTGTGCAAAGTAATATGTTTTCTTACGTGAGTCCGAGTTCCAATTTGGCAACACAGTCATCTTTAAGCCATCTCTCATTGAAGACGTTTCGTGCAATAACGGAAGTGACAATAACATTTTAAAAGGAGATCAGTAACCATTTGTTTTGTTTTACATGGCCATCACATGTTTGTTTTATGTTACAAATATAACCAAAACGCAAATAAATACAATTCAAAACGTACCAGGTGTCAGTTGAGGTTTCCCCAGACAATCTAGCAGACAGTGTTTGCTGCTCTTGCCCTCTCTCAATTATAGTACTCTTCATGTATTATGTTTCTTCAGTGGCAAAAGCTTCGACTGAAGTATCATAGGCCTCGCAAAAATCCACACTTTTCTCCCTATTTGCATAACCCCCGCTATCACAAGAAACGTCTTCGACAAATGAGAGTTCGCAAGATGATTGTGTTGAAAAATTTGAGCTGTGGCTTTCGTCAGAAGACATAATTTTGAACAAAAAACAGCCTAGTATAAGCCTTAGATAATATTAATTTCTTCTTCGTGAAAGAAGCGTGTTGAGTAAATGACGTCACATCCTGTTAAGAAATCGACACCTCGCTAATTGATAATTCAGTAATGGCGGCCGAAAAATTTGCATGTTTGCGTTGAAAAAAAAAAGGCAGAAAGAAGTGGAATTGGACGCTGATATTTGGTAATTTTGTTTATCTACTGATATACTTTCTGAATATACAATAAAAGACAGCACAATTTCCCATCGCAGTGGCACTTTAATGTAAGAAAATAGTCTTTTCAATGTGGAGATTAACAGAGAGGATTTACCTAATTCACCCCTGCTAGCGATGTTGTTCGCTTTCCTATTTACACCCAAATGAATTTTACAAAATTTTATGTGTGTTTTTTTCTGTTGAGGTCTTGTCCCATTTACTGAAATCGTTGTTGACATAGACCTCCAAAATCTCAGAGTTATAGAGTATGGTTGGAGAGACTATGCCATTAAAGATTTTCATGGCAAGCTGTGTTATAGGTTTTCATTGCAAGTTGTGTGCTGTGAGTTAATTTGTGAAAATCAAGATGTTTTCGAATTCTGAATACTGCATGCATACCCTTTTCACTTAGTTGTTGAGTCGCAACCGCGAATTTAGTGTTCGGAGTTAGTTTTAGACCAAGATAAGTGCATTCATTTTTTGTTTAAAAGAGCTTTATTCGCATGACCTATTTACAGGTATTGCTAAAGCATTTAGAGTAACTAACATTAACAATTAACTAATCTGCCAAGTAACAATACTAGCTATTTACAAATTAGTAGTTTCGACAAATATTTACAAGTTTAAAGTACTGTAGTTTCAATTTAGGCTAGTATAGCAAGACATTTATCAGTAGGTCTTGTTATATTATTTCCGGTTTCAAGGCATTCATTTCGTTTGGTGAAATTGGTGAGGATGTATTTCGAAAATACATTTAATAGTTTTGGGTCACTAGATGACATTGAAGATCATCATGACAATCTAGTTTTGTCGTAAATTCTAATCGCAGTTTTTCATTTAAAATTTTTCTATCATTTGTGTAATATTTGCAAAATAGGGCAAAATGGCATTCCTCTTCAACTTCACCCATGTCACAAAACTCGCACAGCCGTTGCTCACGACGGCCACATTCAACATTAAGTTTATGGCAACTTATGCGGAATTTGCTAAGTGCTCTTCCTTGTTGTTGGTTTTTTTATGTTTGTAAGGTATTCTTCTAGTTTGTAGTCGGTTTTGAATTTTTTGTAGAAATCCAGTTTGGAACAGTTGTTTAATTTGTATTTCCAAAAGTTGGTGTATTTGACTTTGGCGTTATCTACGTATTGACGTTGATGTGAGTTCTAAGTCATTGAGTTTGTCTGTGGAACTTGCA